ACATTCCTAGCTTCAGTATGTTCAATATCCCACTCCATGCCACCACCATAATACTTATCAACAATAACTTTCTTCCATAGACTATTTTCTTCCTTCCCAAATCTGTCCCACCACTTCCCTAATAAGGCTATATTCCTATTCTCAATATCTGGCACACCTAGACCTCCCTCACTTCTACCTCGACATACTTTCTCCCAACTCAACCATGCTATCTTACTCTTCTCCCCCGTATATCCCCACAAAAATTTCCTTTGTAATTGCACTAATTCATGTAATACAATTTTGGGAATTTTAGAAATAGACATAAAGTAAATAGGGATGGCAGAGAGTACAGACCTTAACAACGTAACTCGACCACCGATCGATAGGCACTTCGCTTTCCAGACTGCCAGCTTTCTATTAAAATTCTCAATAACTGGAATCCAGGCTTTCCTTCTGCACATAACATCCCCAATTGGCATCCCAAGATAGGTGAAAGGGAGAGATCCTGATTTGCAATTCAGCATAGTAGCTGCTGTTCTTCTCCATTCATCGGGGGCATAAAATGAATACAGCACACTTTTGTTGAAGTTTATCTTTAGGCCCGAAATCAGTTCAAACCATCTCAAAATCCCTTTCACAACATTAATATTAGATGTATTTGCCTTCCCCATAATTACAGTGTCGTCAGCAAATTGGAGGTGTGAAATGTTAAGACCATGGGGGCCTACATCAATTCCTTGAAATAATCCCTTTCTAGTGGCTGATTCTATCAAAATATTCAATCCTTCAGCGACAATTAGGAAGAGAAATGGAGCAATTGGGTCGCCTTGTCTAATTCCCCTCTCCATTTTGAATTCATCTGTTGGGCTTCCATTAACAAGAATTGAGATTGAAGCTGTTTGCAAACACTCCTTTATCCACATTCTCCATTACTTTAGTATTTTTTTACTTAATGATAAATTTATTAATTTAATCTTTGCTATTAGATCACTTCATGTGTATTCTTTATCCTATTGAGTAATTATTTTTTTTTTATCATTGATAGGTTAATATTATTGGAGAGTTAAATATTTAATGAAAAAGAATAAGATTATTAGTGATTTTTTCTTGTAATTAATTTTGGTAATAATGATAATTAGTTATTAAATTTATTTCTTATGTTATATATACTATATCTTATATTATTTTGAACTGTAATTGGAAAAAAAATATTTTTGGCTCCGATCCCTGCATATTTTGTCAAGCCCGTCACTGGGTTTAACTGAATATCAATATTTTGATGAACGGTAAGGTTCTGGCATCGTTGAAAATCTCTCTCAAAATCCCGCCATTTTTTGCTAATCGGAGCATTCCTCTGTATACGTTTCCGAGTTTTCCCAGTCCGAATTGTTAGGAAGAGGAATGTCGAAAGCTCCGTGCATCTTCCACAGCCGACGACCACAAATTGGGA